TGCTAAACACGGGAGTGCCTTAAAGCTTAGTTCTCATCCTTCCTCTCTATACTACTTAAATACAGAAGTAAAACCGAAGAAATACGGGGATTATGGATTATCAGACAAAATGTATTCCTAACTCTACCAATGGAAAAATAATTATTACCAGACATTAAGGGAGGAGGAAAGAAGATGTAAGAAGAAAAATGAGTGTTATCTCCTTTCATAATAGGGAGTCTGAAAAACTATTCTAACTTAATATTTTTCATGTTTTTAAAAAATATTAAATCTTTTAAGCAATCTCTGATACACACATGTTCTTATATTCAGCAATAGGTTGCTTTTTCTTCTGCTGAATTTAAGAAAATTTTTAAAAAATAGTGTAATAAACCCCCTTGGTACACTTCACTCAGCTTTAGCAATTATCAACCTATGATCCATCTCATTTCATCTCCACTCACAATTCACCCAATGCACTTTTTTTTTTGAGACCAATCCCAAGAATTATTTTACCTAGAAATATTGCAGTATCCATCTGTGGCACATTGTAAAACATGGCCACAAATTCCTTTTGGTATGATATATACCCTCCTTCCTTTGCCATGTGGTTAATGTTGGTTCTCCCATCCAGAGGATGGTACCTATTTCTCCACCCCTTGAGTATGAGCTGGTCTGGTGACTTGCGTGATCAACAGAATGCTACAGAACTGATGCCCTGTCACTTCCAAACTAAAGCTTCAAGGGGCTTTGTAGTTTTCAGCTTCTATTCCCATGGAAAACTGCTGTCCAGAGATTCCCAGGTAACAAAATATATTGAACACATATTTAATAACCTTGGCATATGTCTTTTCATAGTTTTGATATAACATTTGTGGGACAGAATCCCAAAAGTGGGACTGCTGGGTCAAAGAGTAAATGTGTTTGCCAACTTGCACTTTTACCAGCAATGAAGGAGAGTGCAGAAGGAGTATTTTCAATATGATTGAAGTAAAATGGCTGTTGCTTTGCCAAAAATATAAACATTCTGATGGTAGAAAATGCCAAAATAACAATAGATTGATTTATAGACAGCATCATTAGATGGAAATGTTGCTGATATACATAGTGAGGAAGGACAGTGGGTGACTTCTAGGCCTGATAAAGTGCTGGAACAGCCTAGCTACTGCAGAAGATTCTACAAAAGCTCTCCTTCCTACTCCTCCTGGGCTGAGGGGTAGTCTACCTCAGTCTCTCGGCTATTTGTGCCACAGACTGGGCATGTTCAAGGCAGCCTGCTATGAGAACTCAAATAATGAATATCAAAAAGTTCCCAGACTTCCTGGATCTGGTATTGAGGTGAATAAACTCTGGCTTTACCCCTGGCATGTGTTGTATAATGTTCCATTTGCCTCATTTCATCAGCTAAGGAAGCATTAATAGTGTCTATAAACAATATGGATGTGTTTAAACAGATTGTATAATTTTCCTCAGCAATTTTAAAATATTTTCTTGACCTGAAAGCTATCTCATTTCCATTTACCTTAATTCCCCTAATTTTACTGAATTCATTCTCTCACTGGTTCTAGCTTCCAGTTTTGGGGTTGAGGTACCCCAAACCGGGAAAGTTAGATGTTACTAATTCGATCTTGGGTTCTCATCCTCTCTGATCTTTTGTTGGCATTTAATCTTCATTTGGTTAAATGCCAAATGAGAGCTAACCTTCATTTAACCTCATTTCTTAAGTAAATTTAAATGCAATGCTTTTTATTAAGAATGGCATATGTATTACTAAAGAGTCAATCACAAGATGACAATTCCAACTATTTTAAGCAGAAAAGAATAAGACAGAATCAGGGACTTGTCTGAGACTGAGCTTTCAAGAATGATTCCTAGAACAACACAGCAAAATTGGTCATGGTCCAAAGGCTGGCTTGAGAAACATACTGTATTAGCTATAATCGAGGGGTTACAGAATTATGCTCTCTGTACAGTCCATTCCAGCAAAATGGACCACCTTTCTACTTAACTTAGTCCCAAATCCAAGGAGAAAATGTCATTTACCATTATGAGTAAATCATATCCAAAATTTTAGTGTAAAAGGATTTTGGAAATTGCGTCCTGAATTTATAGAAAAATGTATACAAAATTTATCTCCAAAATATATGTCAAATCAGTCCATTTCTTTATATGTCCATTACTACCACCTAGTAAAAGCCACCGTTATCTCTCACCTGACTGCTGCCAGTCTCTACTTTCCCAGCTTCCACTATTAGCTCAGCAACGGCTTTTCATTCCTCTGTGAATAAAACCCAAACACCTTAGACCACAGTCAACAAAAAAGCTCTACACATTATGGGCTCTTTTTATTCCCCTACCTTTCTGACCTCATCTCCTACCCTTATCCTAGTTAATCATTATACGTTCCAGTTACAGCAGTCATCTTTCTGTTCTTAAACACACCAAATCCATTTCTTCCCTCTTGGCCTTAAACTTGTTGTTCTTTCACTCTGAAAAACTCTTCCCCAAGGTATGTGTAGGGCTTGCTTCCACATCTTTATTCAAGTGTCACCTTATTACAGAGGCATTCACTGACCAACCAACCCATTTAAAATATCACCAACTATGGTAATTTCTATATTTATCCTGTGAAAGTGTTAGTCACTCAGTCGTGTCTGATTCTTTGTGACCCCAAGACCAGGCTCCTCTGTCCATAGAATTCTCCAGGCAAGAATACTGGAGAGGGTAGCTATTCCCTTCTTCAGGGGATCTTCCTAACCCAGGGATTGAACCTGGGTCTCCTGCATTGCAGGCAGATTCTTTACCGTCTGAGCTACCTGGGAAGCCCTACTTTTAACCTGCTCAACATCACTGGACATCATATAAACTAAAATCTTTAGATACCACTACACCCTCACCAGAAGGACTAAAATTAAAAGACTATCCGAAACAATCCTGAAAAAGAAGAACTAAATCTGAGAACTTAGCCTAAGTGACTGGAAGGCTCACTATGTGGCTAGAGTAATCAAGACATATGGTACTGGCATAAAAGTTGACAGACTGATGAAAACAGAAGTTCAGAAATAGATCCATGCTAATACAAATCATCTGGTTTTCAAGAAAAGGGATGAAGCAATTTAATGGAGAAAGGAAAAATCTTTTCAACAAATGACACTAGAATCTCTGAAAAGCCACATGGAAAAAAGAAGTGAGCTTCAACTCCTAACTCACACTTATGCACAAATATTAATTCAAAAGGCAAGAGACCTAAATGAAAAGCCAAACTTTCAGAGGAAGATGAAGGAGAGTATTTTTGTGTCTTAAAGGTAAACAACAGTTTCTTAGATAAGTCACAGAAAGCAACAACCAAAGAGAAAAAATTAACACATCAGACTTCATTAAAAGAAACATCTGTCCATCTTTTGATGGACAGATTATTTTCATATTATGAAAGTCAAGTTGGAAACCAGAGACATAAAGAAAAAACTGAAGATGGACTGGTATCCAGAATATTTAAAGACCTCATACAACTCAATAACTGAAAGACACCTCAATTTTAAAAGACAAGCACAAGATTTGAAGATATTTCACAAAAAATAAGGTATAAAAATGGCCAATAAGCAAATGAAAAAGTGCTCATCTTTTCATCAATGAAATGCAAATTAACACACAATTTATCAGTATACACCCAATGAAAATGGCTAAAGTTAAAAAAACCACACCAAATATTGGCAAAGATATTATACAACAGGACTGCTCACAGACCACTGGTGGAAATAGTAAGTGGTACCTCCCTTTTAGAAGCAGTTTGACAGTTTCCTAGTATATGTAACATATGATCCCATCACTATCCTTCTAGGTAGTCACCCAAGAGAAAGGAAAGCATGTGTTCATACAAAGGCTGGTACTTAAATAGTCACAACAGCTTTATCTGTAACAGCTAAAAATTGGAAATAAGCCAAAAGTTCATAAACAAGTAAATAAATAACTTCTTGTGAACTAAGGAAATATTATTCCTCAATGAAAAGGAATTAACTATTGATCACATAGTATGGAGAAACTGTAAATTATGTGGAAGGAAAGAATCCAGTCAAAAGTACATACTATATGATTCCATTTACATAAAATTCTAGAAAATAAAAACTAACCTATAGTGACAGAAGGCAGAATAGAGGTTGACAGGATTGGGAGGGGTGAGAGGAAGGCATAAGCACAGGAGACTTCGGGAGATGATGAATACCTTCACTATCTGAATTGTGATGGTTTTATGGGTACATACATATGTTAAAATGTACCAAACTGTACACTTATAAGTAATATGCAGTTTACTATATATAAATTATATCTCAACTTAAAGTATCAACTAAAGAAAACAATGAGAACCAAAGAAACATTTTAATATTTATGATTTATAGTTTGTATATTTAAGTACTCTATAATATTACTATACATTAATTTTTTCATTCCTCAGTGTCTATAGTTATTTTAAGATTATAACAATTTTAGATTAATAATTTAATGGGTCTATTGAAAAACACTGAAATATCTTCTGAAACACTAAAATATTATTTTCTGAAAATGCTTCCACACAAGCTTATGTTAAAGATTTTAGACTTAATAACATTAGTATATTAGTGAGACGCTGTACATTAGTGATTCGCTCAGAGGTAAAATTAGTTAATTTCACAAGAGTACAGCAAATAAAATAATTTTCATCCGAGATAATGTATCTGATTTCCAACTGGGCAGTTTACAATGATTTTCAACCAATAATGACCAAATGAAAATGCTTTTAAACCTTGTGTTTTCTCCAGGTTTTCCATCTTTCCCTTACAAGACTTAACTTTTTTTTCCATGTTAGATTGTATTTTTTAAAATTTAGATACGCTGAGGCAAATGAATTTTTTCCCCAAATTTTTCTAGGTTATTTTCATTCTAACTTCAAAATCGCACAAAACATCATGAAAGAACCCCCTTAGTGACAACACCCGCTGTCGTAAGCGCTTAATGAACGTGAACATACCGAATAATTTATGTATTACCTGGCCACATCCAGGGGCAGTACATAGAAAGGGTTTGTCATCACTCATATTCCACAGGTCCTTGTATTGCCTATAATAAAACATTCAGAGATGATTAAACATTTTACAGTACAGATTTTTAAATAAATAACTTAAAATGTAATATTACTTGATTTTCATTAAGCTTTTTACCTTTTCTATCTGAATGTGAAATAGCACAGTTTTACTGACATTTTAACCCCATCTTCCATTTTCTTATTAATAAAGACATGCAACATGCAGATTTCACATTATAGAAAAAACTGTTAAGAACTCTGATCTATTAGGTTAAACCTTTCCTTTTCAGTAGCATAAGTGCAGAAAGAATGAAATAATTAGAAGATCACTACCTTATTATTTATTTATTTATTTGGCTGCACCAGGTCTTAGTTGTGGCATGCAGGATCTTCAGTCTTTGATGCAGCATGTGAACCTTCAGTTGCAGCATGTGGGATCTAGTTCCTGGGTCAGGGATCGAACCCAGGCCCCCTGCATAGGAACCTCGGAGTCTTAGCCACTAGACCAGCTGGGAAGTCCCTAGAAGATCACTACTTTAAATACCAATGAAATTATGGACAGGCAACTCTCATCAATGTCTGATAAAACCATCAGGAGCAAAGGTGATGGGAGCTTCATAATGGCTGGGTCAGGTCGACAGCATCTGAACTCATGGGTCAGTGTTAAGTTAACGTCACTAAAAGTGGGACAAATACTGTGAGTCCCCTGATGAGACAACAGAAACCACATGAAGCATTCGTGGTGGGGGGCGGGGTGTGCGGCTATATCCAAACCTGAAATCTAATCAAGCTTTTCTAGATTCTACTACAGGAAATAAAGGAGATAGAGAAAACAGATCAAACACCACTACTGAGATGCAATTAGCAAAATTCTACAGCACAAAAGACCTGGTCTCCTGAAAAATAAATGTCATGGGGAACAAAAGAAAAGAGAAAGTAGAGGGGAACTGCTTTAGGTTAAAAGAGGCTGAATATACCATATTAAATAGAATACAATATGGGGACTTTCCGGGATCCTGATTTAAACCAAAAACTACAAAAAAGACATTTTCAAGTCAACATTATTTTCCTACTTTTTGATTTAGACTTGAAAGTTCCCAATCAGTCCTTCCATTAACTTGCAGGTTTTTGTTTTTGCTTTCTTTCTACAAATTACATACAACAACTATATTTGACTGAATTAACAATTCTGTAAAATTATTCCTTTTTCAACACTAGTTTGTTAGCCTTTCAGAAATATGTAACCTTCAGAAACCTTTCAGAAAAAGCCTTTCACCAACAGAGATGACAATTGCTATCATAGTCAGATTTGGGAAGTGCTAGAATATTTCTTTTAGGAGGCAGGACTTTTCAAAGAATTAATATGTTCGAGGGAAATGACCAGAAGAGCACCTAGAATACAGCATATCTACCACATCCATTTTCTGTCTGAACCCTTTTTCACCTCATGGGACTAGTATTATTTGGAACTCATTTAAGGAGAAATCAAAACACTAAAATATATATTTATCTTTGTCATAGTTAAGTGTATTTTGATGCTCTATTTAGTAATTTAAAAATACAATCGGAGTATCAGCTGAACTACATACTACAAAAATAAGTATTTATTTATAAAAAAAGAACCATTTATCTAGAAATAACCTATGAAAATACTTATAATCTACAATATGAAAAATAAAAAAATTTGAAAAATAGCCCCAAATATCAAATATTGCATACAAACCTGGCAGAATTCACATATAACTTGAATTTCATAAGCTGAACAACTTATCACGTCCTCTTTTTCATGGCAAGGACACTGAAAAATGAAGTGGTTTCACACTATTAAATATTTAGTTTTGAAACACTTCTTGAAACATAGTAAAAAATAAAAACACTCAGATAATTACACTCTCTGTAACTACTGTCATCCAAAAACCCACTCACTATTAAGAATCTTTATAATAGAGCTCTGCTCCTAAAATAAAAACATCCATATAAATGCAAAATATATCCAACTCCACCATAAAGAAGGTAAAAGAAAAACATTTAGCTTAGCCTTTAAGGTTGTGACTGAAGGGCAATAATTAAAAGAGTGAAAATCCTGACTTTTGAAGTCTGGTGAAAAGACTAGACCTCCTATTTCAAAATATCTATTCAGAAAGCTTTAAATTTTTTCAAATGCAGTCAGTGTGGTCTGGGTCTCGGCCTGTCATCAGTCTATTTGTCCCTCAGTGTAGTTGAAGGAGCTCCCTCTTCCCTAACTTCATAGCTTACTTATCTGATACTAGCTTAAGGACACGTACAACCCTTAAACTGCTAGGTGAGTGTCTCATTTTTAAACCCAGCTAAGCAGCAGCAGCAATACTCCATTACATTCACTGAAACCCCATCTAGTGGCGAACAGAGTTAACTACATGCTTATCCATAAAAGCCAATGGTACATAAGAGAAAAAAATTTGTTTTTACATAATTTTGCTTATAAATGTGGTGAAGAATGTTCTGCTCAACAGAATTGGGTAATTCCTGTGGAGAAATGTACAAATAGCTACAGTTCTGAATCCTGGAATCACAGATGATATAAGAGATAATAAGAAGAAAGTTCTTCTCCTAAAAGAAAGAGAGCATGGTAGTTCCTCAGTCATCTTGACTCCTTATAGCACCATGGACTATTGCCTGCCAGGCTTCTCTGTCTATGGGATTCTCCAGGCAAGAATACCGGAGTGGGCTGCCACTTCCTATTCCACGGAATCTTCTCCAACCAGGGACTGAACCTGTGTCTCCTGTGTCCCCGGCACTGGCAAGTAGATTCTTTAACCACTAGTGCCACCTGGGAAGCCCCCAATAAATATTAAGGAATGAATAAATTGCTATATAATATGAACCAGTTTAGATTATGTTAACTATCTCAATAAACTAAAACTAGTAAGAAGATGCAGTTCATATTGCTTTGAAAAATCAAAGCAATATTTAAACTCAAGTTCAGGAAACATTTAAACATCAAACACACACACAGACACAAAGATGAAAAAACAAAGACCCTCCACTCTGAGAAACTTTTAGTCAAACAGAAGAAAGAAAACAAAAATTTCAATACAATCTGGTTAAGAATAAGAGTTAAAATATTAAAAATATAGAAGTAGTGTAGGGAACCAATCTGATACTTATAGAAAAGCTTTCTGAAGGAATTAACCCTTGGTATTCTTTTCTACCCACCATGACTACTACTGTCCCATTCTACAAAAGAAGTTCCTTACCTACACAGCAGATTATTTTCTAGCCAACCAATAACAATTCCCATTACTTATAATACTATTTCCTAATATCTAGCTGAGGTAGCTGTAAAGACAACAGTCAAAGCACCCTGAGACATAAATGATCATAATTCCTCCAGCAGGCTTAAATGCTATCTGTGTGTTAATCTAACTGAAACTCAAACCTCTAAATCCAGGCTTATCTCCCTTTCACATCAAGGGTGGAAATATGCTTCTAAGAAAGCACAGGAAGGAGGCTTTGTTCAACTATAAACTGTCAGAGAAGACAATGACTGCAGATAGAGAATTGTTACTACAGCACACCGCTCTCAGGCAAGCATCTACAATTTATTAGTTCAGTTCAGTCACTCAGTTGTGTCTGACTCTTTGCAAACCCATGGACTGCTGCATGCAAGGCATCCCTGTGCATCACCAACTCCTGGAGTTTACTCAAACTCATCTCCATTTAGTCGGTGATACCATCCAACCAGCTCATCCTCTGTTGTCCCCTTCTCCTCCTGTCTTCATCTTTCCCAGCATCAGGGTCTTTTCAAATGAGTCAGCTCTTCCCATCAGGTGGCCAAAGTATTTGAGCTTCAGCTTCAACATCAGTCCTTCCAATGAACATTCCAGACTGATTTCCTTTAGAATGGACTGGTTGGATCTCCTTGGAGTCCAAGGGACTCTCAAGAGTCTTCTTCAACACCACAGTTCAAAAGTATCAATTCTTTGGTGCTCAGTGTTTTTTATACTCCAACTCTCACATCCATACACGACCACTGGAAAAACCATAGCCTTGACTAGACAGACCTTTTTTGGCAAAATCATGACTCTGCTTTTTAATATGCTGTCTAGGTTGGTCATAACTTTTCTCCAAGGAGCAAGCATCTTTTAATTTCATGGCTACAGTCACCATCTGCAGAGATTTGGGAGCCCCAAAAAATAAAATCTGCCACTGTTTCCCCACCTAATTGCTATGAAATGATGGGACCGGATGCCATGATCTTTGTTTTCTGAATGTTGGTTTTTAAGCCAACCTTTTCACTCTCCTCTATCACTTTCATCAAGAGACCCTTTAGTGCTTCTTCATTTTCTGCCGTTAAGTGTGGTATTATCTGCATATCTGAGGTTATTGATATTTCTCCCAGCAATCTTGATTCCAGCTTGTGCTTCCTCCAGCCCAGTGTCTCTCATGATGTACTCTGCATGTAAGTTACATAAGCAGGGTGACAATATACAGCCTTGATGTACTCCTTTTCCTATTTGGAACCAGTCTGTTGTTCCATGTCCAGTTCTAACTGTTGCTTCCTTACCTGCATACAAATTTCCCAAGAGGCAGGTCAGATGGTCTGGTACTCCCATCTCTATCAGAACTTTCCACAGTTTATTGTGATCCACACAGTCAACAGCTTTGGCATAGTCAATAAAGCAGAAATAGATGTTTCTCTGGAACTCTCTTGCTTTTTCAACAATCCAGCAGATGTTGGCAATTTGATCTCTGACTCCTCTGCCTTTTCTAAAACCAGCTTGAACATCTGGAAGTTCACAGTTCACGTACTGTTGAAGCCTGGTTTAGAGAATTTTGAGCATTACTTCACTAGCGTGTGAGATGAGTACAATTGTGTGGTAGTGTGAACATTCTTTGGCATTGCCTTTCTTTGGGACTGGAATGAAAACTGACCTTTTCCAGTCCCGTGGTCACTGATGAGTTTTCCAAATTTGATGGTATATTGAATGCAGCACTTTCACAGCATCATCTTTCAGGATTTGAAATAGCTCAACTGGAATTCCATCACCTCCACACGCTTTGTTCATAGTGATGCTTCCTAAGGCCTACTTGACTTTGCATTCCAGAATGTCTGGCTCTAGCTGGGTGATCACACCATCTTGATTATCTGGGTTGTGAAGATCTTTTTTGTACAGTTCTTCCGTGTATTTCTGCCACCTCTCCTTCATATCTTTTGCTTCTGTTAGGTCTATACCATTTCTGTCCTTTATTGAGCCCATTTTTTAATGAAATGTTACCTTGGTATCTCTAATTTCCTTGAAGAGATCTCTAGTCTTGCCCGTTCTAATGTTTTCCTCTGTTTCTTTGCACTGATCACTGAGGAAGGCTTTCTCATCTCTCCTTGCTATTCTGTGGAACTCTGCATTCAAATGGGTGTATCTCCTTTTCTCTCTTGCTTTTTGCTTCTCTTCTTTTCACAGCTATTTGTAAGGCCTCCTCAGACAGTCATTTTGCTTTTTTGCATTTCTTTTTCTTGGGGATGGCCTTGCTCCCTGTCTCCTGTGCAATGTTATGAACCTCCATCCACAGTTCATTTCAGGCACTCTGTCTATCAGATCTAGTCCCTTAAATCTATTTCTCACTTCCACTGTATAATCATTAGGGATTTGATTTAGGTCATACCTGAATGGTCTAATGGTTTTCCCTACTTTCTTCAATTTCAGTCTGAATTTGGCAATAAGGAGTTCATGATCTGAACCACAGTCAGCTCCAGGTCTTGTTTTTGTTGACTGTATAAAGCTTGTCCATCTTTGGCTACAAAGAATATAATCAACCTGATTTTGTTGTTGACCATCTGGTGATGTCCATGTGGAGAGTCTTCTGACAAAACGTGGTCCACTGGAGAAGGGAATGGCAAACCACTTCTGTATTCTTGCTGTGAGAACCCCATGAACAGTATGAAAAGGCAAAAAGATAGGACACGGAAAGATGAACTCCCCACGTCAGTAGGTGCCCAATATGCTACTGGAGATCAGTGGAGAAATAAATCCAGAAAGAATGAAGAGACGGAGCCAAAGCAAAAGCAACACCCAATTGTGGATGTGACTGGTGATGGAAGCAAGGTCTAATGCTGTAAAGAGCAATACTGCATAGGAACCTGGAATGTTAGGTCCATGAATCAAGGCAAATTGGAAGTAGTCAAATAGAAGATGGCAAGAGTGAACGTCAACATTTTAGGAATCAGAAAACTAAAATGCAATGGAATGGGTAAATTTAACTCAGATGACCATTATACTGTGGGCAGGAATCCCTTAGAAGAAATGGAGTAGCCATCATAGTCAACAAAAGAGTCCAAAATGCAGTATCTGGATGCAATCTCAAAAGCGACAGAATGATCTCTGTTCGTTTCCAAGGCAAACCATTCAATATCACAGTAATCCAAGTCTATGCCCCAACCAGTAATGCCGAAGCTGAAGCTGAATGGTTCTATGAAGACCTACAAGACCTTCTAGAACTAACACCCAAAAAAGATGTCCTTTTCATTATAGGGGACTGGAACGCAAAAGTAGGAAGTCAAGAAACACCTGGAGTAACAGGCAAATTTGGCCTTGGAGTACAGAATGAAGCAGGGCAAAAGCTAACAGAGTTTTGCCAAGAGAACGCCCTGGTCACAGCAAACATCCTCTTCCAACAACACAGGAGAGAAGACTCTACAGCCTATACTGGTAGGAAGATCACTGGCATGAAGAGTACACAGGAGGGTTCTACACAAGATTTAAGAAGTCAGTTTCTTT